GGCCTAAATCCCAGCCTTCTTTGGCTGGCCTGGGCCAATTGACCCAGGGTATGTCTACACTGCAATTAAATACTGGTGGCTGGCCTGTGCCAGCTGACTCGGACACGGGCTGCGGGGCTTTTTAATTGCGGTGTAGACGTTCGGACTTGGGTTGGAGCTCGGGCTTTAGGATCCTGCGAGGTAAGAGGGTCCCAGAGCTCAGGCTGCAGCCCAGGCCCAGACATCTACATTGCAGTTAAATACCCCCTCAGTCCAAGCCCCGTGAGCCAGAGTCACTTGGCACAGGCCAGCCACCGTTATTTAATTGCCTTGTAGACATACCCCCATCCACCCCTCATCAGACTCATGGGGCTCAGGCCGTGGGGCAAAAAAATAGCAGTGTAAACCTCAGAGTCTGGGCTCCAGCCCAAACCCAAATGTCTACACTGCAATTTTTAGTCCTGTGAGCCAGTCTTTTATTGCAGTGTAGACATGCCCTTTGTTATGTTGCCAACTATCTCAATTTTAGCACAACCTTTGTGCTATTTAGCATTTTCTTTAAGCCCCTGCTCCTGAAGTCATCTGATTATTTGAGCATTTCAGCTTTCATTTAAAAAGCAAAAGTAATTTTTTAACCCTTTATGGTTGCGAGCAAAAGCATGTAAATGTTAACCCTCCATGCTCAAAACCAGAAAGCAAATAAAAACAACTGCAAATGGTTTTTTTTGTTTTTGTTTTTAATCTCATGATTTTGGGAAACTGGTTTATGATTTCTGAATGCGTAGGGTTGTCAATACTGTCTTTGGAATGTAAGTTTTTCTTTCTATTCATCTCCACATTTTAAAGAGAACCAAGAATGACTAAATATTTGCAAGATATTTATATACATACAGGTCATTTAAAAAAAATAAATGGAAACAGAACTCCTAGTAGGTCAGCAATTGCCAGCAGTTGGTATCTGAGAAAGCACAACCTTTCCCTATTCCTAGAATAGGGAATAGCTGCCAGACCTGAGATACCACACTGTGATAACTGCTAGCAAATATGGATATTTTCAGTGGTGACTACTGTAGTTTCTAAAATGTTTTTGTCAGTTCTTTATTAATTAGCAATCAAATAACATCCTATACATCTGTCAAAATGAAATTTATATGAAGATTAAATTTTTCTTTTAAATTGCATTAAAAATCCAAATATTTAATTAATATAATTTTTTTTACTGTAAAATCCAAAGATTTTCTATAATGCCATTGTCTATTTTTAATGAGTATATGAGTTGATTTGGGGATCAGGAGTGCAAAAAATTGTCAACCCTTGCCCTGTTTCCCCATGATTATGAGCAAAATCATTTCATGTAGGAAACAAGAAATGCCAGGAGTTTCAACTTGCAGAATTCCTGTCCTAGTCTACAGTAGTGGGGGAGGATTTGTCCTCACCTCACCTGTCTCATTATGGAGAGGTGGGGCATCCTACGATCTACCAGAAAACCTGTGGCTCTTGAGACTAGATCAGGCCCTGAGTGCTTATTGTGAATATGCATAAACCTCAGCTCCTGATCCTTTAAAAAATAAGGAAGAGATTTTGTATAGAATGTAGCATCTTAAATAGAATTTGCCTTCAATACACAGCCCCAAACTGGAGGTTATGCAGGGGGGCATGTTGCAATGGGAGCCCCACAAGGAATTTGGTTATCCTGGAGTAGCAGTTCTACCATCAATCAATGGGAGAACCATTGAATTCACTGACCAAGCAGACTTTATCCCATGGGTAGCACCCAGAACCTTCTGGAGATTCTCTTCTCCCTTTCCCATCTTCCTTCTGGTCCACTCTATGTGCCAGCAGAGCAGCAAATTGCCATTTACAAGATCTCTTGTCAGTTTCATTTGGCTCTGCCAGTCCATCCAGCAGAGCAGCCAAGTGTAATTCAGGTAATTTAGTCTTTTCCTCTTGTCTGCTCTGCTCCGTATGCTAACTAAGCAGCAAAGTGAAACTGACGAGAGTTCTTGTAATTTTCGCATAAGGACTGGGACAATGAGGGGTCTGGTAGCAGGGAGCAGAGCAGTAAATTGTAGGAGAAAACCTGGGATTAGGAGAGGGGGAGAAAAAAACAGGAACAAAGAGCAAAAACAGAGAAAAGCCGATAAAACTCTATGAATTTTATTTAGGGTCCTTTGTCACGCTGATGTCTCAAATAATATATATTTGTTCTTGCTGACCCTGCTCTATATAATATAACTTCTTGAGTTTCTGCTGTGCTGTCCTTAGGAAGCTGAGGTGTATGGACACATTGAGAATGAAGTAACAGAGAGTCCTGTGGCACCTTTAAGACTAACAGATGTATTGGAGCATAAGCTTTCATGAGTGAATACCCACTCCATCAGACGCATACTGAGAATGAAGGAATCACTGTTTAACCCAAGGGGCTGTGGGCAAATCCCAGGATTCTAGGTCCTCTGCCTGGTCTGCATGATCCTTTGTGTTACTTTCTAGGCTCCTCTTTCCCATGGCAGAATAGCTCATTGAGGAGATGTACTACCATTGTCTCTCTTACATGATTAGTCCTTCTGTGTGTGGAATAGAAGCTTCAGGGGGGGAGTTAATACTACATCAGAAAGCATTAACTCCCATGTGGATTTCTGTCTGCATATCCACAGGTTTTAGAGGCGAGTGACCCTTGTAGAGCAACTGCTCCCTGATTCTATCACTCTCCAAAACCCACGAAGAGCCAGCAACACACAGTTTTTGTAGGTGGCCTTTTTCAGAGTTGGGAAGGATACGGTGAAGTCTCTGCTCACTCTCCCTTGTCCTTAGGTGTTTATTCCAGGAGTTTGTCTTATTCTCCTCCACATTGTGTACTTGGCAGGACCATTTGGACCATTATTATTCAGAGGTATTGTGTATAGTTTTGATTCCCGTATTGCTCAGCTGGGTAAGAATAGGAATGGGAAGGAGAGTGAGGGAGTGTTATGATAATTGTGCTTACAAATTTACCCTAATTGAGAGATTAACTGTCAAAAATGTTTATAACATGTCACAATAACCTATAATAACAAATGTTGATGGGAATAATGCTAGATAACCAGACAGAGAAACTGGATTACTCTAAACCCAAAAGTCCATCTTGATATAATCCAAAAACTGTTGAAATTATGCTTGTTAAAAACAGATGATATAGAGCTGGAAGTTAATGAACCAAAATTGGTGTGTTGGATAGTGGGCCTAATTGGTGGACAAAATAATGAGGGGATGGGTTATTCCACCCACCATACCCTTTGTGGCTTTTTAAAGACTGAGATTTTGGGGGTAAAGAAAGAACAGATGGAGGCTACTGGACCAAGCTTCACTGTCATGGCTGCCACCCCCACTACTTCCTGGGACCCTAGACCTTCTTTGGCTTAATCTTGAGGGGTATCCTTACCAGCTCAGGCCAGAGAGGGTTGGTGATGTCATCTGGATCATTATATCAACTCCAGCTGAATTCCAAACTGCACCTTGGATGAAATGGGATTGGACTTTAACAACAGCAACAGCAGCTCCAGTTCATCTCAACTAACTATTTTCTTTTCCTCAAAAGGGCAGTTTTGGATCTTAATGACAACAGGAACAACAGCTTTAGCCCATCTCAGCCAGCTTCTTTTCTTTTCCCCAAAAGGACAGTTATTACCATCTTTAATGCGCTCTAAGAGACTGTGGAATGAGGGGTTTTTCCTTCTAAAAACTCTACCAAGCTGCCTTGTTTAATATTTTACATTTCAGATGCTTTAACTGTTTTTTCCTTCTTTTCTGTATAGTTAATGAAAGGTTCAAAGGCTTTTTAAAGGTGTGTTTGCCATGTTCTAAGCAGTCTGAGGTCTCTGTAGATCAAACCCCAGACCCAGTTTAACATTATTTAATGTTGGCTAGTGACTGGGTTCTGTTAGACCTTTATAGACCTTTGGCTTATATATTCCATCTAAATTAATTACCACAAGGTAATATTCCATATATTCTGATTCTCACGGTACATTGAGATGTAGTGTTGAGTTGTTTAAAAACTTTTGTTCTACTACTGTTTACCTTTAATTATCAGACAGTCTCATGTTTGCACTTCAGGCTACATTTTCTAAAGTCCCGCCTCCCTTTTTATGGGTGCAAACTGTGCCTGCAAAATGGTACCTGCAATTGATTGTGGGTACAAATATTAGCAGTCAGGTGACTAGTTACTTTGTTGTTTATTTTCTAAATTTTTTTTTTACTTGGATTGTGGTAGTGCCTAGTGTAATAGGTGCTCTCCTAACATAGATGAAGACGTGATCTTGATCTTGAAAAGCATGAGATGTAAATTGCCCAGATTGTAGTAATTGCAGTGATATGCCAGGCTGAAAATGTGGGCCTTTAAATGTGGGATATGTTGATATCTGGGTAGAAAGTACTTTTGCTTTGGTTTAGCTCAGCTTTTGTCAGTGTTCATTTTTCTGCTTCTAGAGGAAAAAGCGGCAAATCAGGATACTGTTGGTGCAGGAGGTGAAGGGAAATCTGTTTTAATTCACTGATGATATATATGTAAATTGAAACATAATTTCAGCCTAGAAAACAGAAGTCCTCAGTGAAACTAGAAATCTTATTTATGAAAGTGCATGCTGTTCTCTTTTCAAGGTAGATAAAATTAACAATAAAGAGCAAACAATTGTTCTGTAACAAAGCTTTTTAATAAGTGGAAAGATTTTTTTTAAAACCTGTTAAATTCTGCCAGCTCTTGTAATACACTATGAAACACATTGGTTTATTTATTGGTCCACATACAACTGCATGTCTTACAGTTGCTGCAGATGCATGCATAGATCAGGCAATTTCAACACAAATGATTTCCGAATACCCTCTATTGTTCACAATTGCCTAGTTTGCACATGCAATTGCAGTATTTGCTCATGCTTTTTTCACACGGGTCAGATCATGATCCTCAATCTGAAGTCACATTTTCCCCCATTTCTCTTTTGCCTTTTTTTCTGAGACACATTTTTTGTTTTGCTTTACTCACCCAGGAATTAAATAGCTTTAATTACTTGGACCTGTATAAGCTCGCTGACCTCTTCAACCTCACTTTGCTGGAGAAGGCAGTGGTTGACTTCTTAGTTAAACACCTCTCTGAGCTGTTGAAGAGTCACCCGGAGGAAGTCCTGACTCTCCCATACTGTCTCCTTCGAGAGGTCCTGAAGAGCGACCGACTCACTTCCCTTAGCGAAGAGCAAATCTGGCAGGTAAGGAAATCAGTTAGTGTAATGTGTGACACCTGTTTAAAACCAGGGAAAACTGTTGTGCTGGAGACACTAAAATGATTAAAGGTTCAAAGAAACAATAGGGGGAAAACTTGATTTTGGTGGTAACACAGGATCTGCTCTGTTCTAATACAATTTGTTAATTTGTAAGAAGTCTTTTTGATGGTTGACTTGTATGGCCTAGTATAACGGGGGGGGGGGGGGTAACAACGTTGTGGCATAATACCGAATATGATTTAATAGCTTTTAATGATAAAGAAACACTCAGCCCAAAACCTATAATATGTTTTGTTGCCAAAAAAAAAAAATCTGTGAAACAATCCCACTGTAAATCTGTGGAGCTCCAGAATATAATGGAAGTAAACATCTGTAATATTCATTACAGGAACACTGCTGTTTGTTTCTTATTTGCTATCATGCAATATGGGAGAAAGACAGGGCAAGGTAGGAAAAAATTGTTAAATATATCAGTTTTGGAGAATACTGTTTATCTTATAAAAAGGGAGGTACCCTCGGGCTAATGGACAGGACGAGCAATCAGAAGACCTGAATGTTATTCATGGCTCTCTTAATAAGGTACATATCTGCTGGGTGATGTTGGGTAAGTCACTTCATCGCTCTGTGCCTTGGTTTCCCCATCTGTGAAATGGGGGGTATCATACTTACCTTACTTTTTAAGGTGTTTTGAGATCTGCAGATGAGCAGTGCTATGTAAGAACAAAGTTCTTCAAACTACCAAGGCAGAGTGGAGATAAAGTTTAATCCTTTATTCTAGAGACTACCGCACAGATTTATTTCTCAGATTTTGAGGGTAGAATATGTAGTCTTTTCCAAAGCTGCTATTTCCATTAAAATTGAAATATAAACTTGGACTCCTGCCTACCCATCTTTGAGAGATCCTCTGGTGGTGTACTCTTTTAGAAAGGAGGAGGGGATACTCCGGAGTCCTAGCCCTCATTCCCTTGCTCTGTAGAGCAGTTTTGATGAGTGAGGTTGTGGGGGTATTGCTGACTGGCCCATTTGCTTTCATTATCGGTTCACTGCAAGATGAAAGTGTTTCGTAAAGTGCTTTGAGATATCTTGGATAAGAGAGATGCTGCAGAAAGCCAAGCTGCATTAAATAGCATGCTGGCACTGGTCAGTGCGGTATGGCATGCGTTCTCCCCACGTTTGCCATTTCCAGTCTAGTAAGTGGAAGTTCTTAGGTCTCTGGTACTGTGACCCTGGCCTTGCCCTGTGGGACAAATCTGGAAAAGGTTTTCTTAATGGCCTCCGCGACAGTAGGGTGGACACTCCATGTAGCAAATATGATAGTCTATGCCAGTGTTGCAGGTCACACTGCAGATACTGCTATGTACAGCCGTGATAATGTGCTTCTTTTTGAGTGACAACAAACTCTACACTGTCCATTTAAGTATTATCATAATTGCCTCTCTAAAGGTTACTAATGCTGTTATGTAGAATGTTTTAAACTAGTTTTCTGCTGCGGGCAGAAAAAATATATATTTTATTTCTGCTTCTCCAGAATGAATTAAAAGACACACATAAATATTTACCAATTTAGGCATTCAGCAGGCAATAAGAAACTGTTTTTTGCTTTATCTTAGTAAATAAATAATTCCCTCATAGTCAACCCAATAGAGGAAAATCAAATCAGACCAGCTATATTGCCTCAAGTGTAGTTAAGTTCATCATTTTTGCTAAGGTTATAGTGGTAATGCAATATACCATGGAAGAATCTAATATTCAGCCCAGGGTGAAGATTGGGTATGCCAGAGGATTAGTGTCAGGGTGCTTTATAGAAGTGAAACTTGATGGACAGGCTGGAGACAGATCTACAGAATCTCATTAAATTGCTGAATTGTTCATTACTGAGCACTCTCCCTGTAATAAAGTGCTCATTGACTTTGACAAATCCCTATCCCATGTCTTGCAGAAGAACAGCAGAGCAGGAGGTGTTGGGGAAGCAAGAGGAAATTGGCACAAAGTGGGGCAGATAATAGAAAAGCTGATGAGGGATACTACTATTTGATTAATGTGTCCTACCTGTAACTAGTGTAACGTCCCCAAAACACACAGATACACACACATTATAACAACATTGATGCAACATGTCCCCAAGGCAACTTCACCAGTGGGCCTCACATGATATTCCAACCACAAATTAAAGCTACCCTCCCAACGCAGGGTCCCTGGAGAGGATCACAGTGTCCCCAGGGCACTACTACTTTTACTGGTGCAGCGAGGTTTAAATCACAGCATCCCCTGGGTGAATCAAGCCCAATGTACATAAAGATTAAGACAGTTAAAAGAAAAACATAGAAAGTTTGGCTTTGGGATAACTGATGTAGTTTTGCTGTAGATGAAAGCTAAAATCTACTGTAGTTCATGTGTGGTCCATGCTAGTTTTTTGTTAGGTTGTTGATTGTGGATTCCCCAGTTGATTGAATGTTGTGAACTACATCCTTAAGCAAGACATATTTTGGAAAGTTTAACAGTAATATTGGCTTCTAGCACACACCAAAATATGACTAATGTTCAGTAAGATTCTACAGTACTATGGTGATAATTCTCCTAGATCATCTTGGAAAGAAAGCCAAGATTTTATGAAGGATATAGTGAATAAAGTAAGTAGTAGTGCACTCCTTAGTAAAAAGTGCACTGTGATTAACAGAAAAATCTTATGAACCTCATTTTCCCAGCCTAAATGGGGCTCTCCTTTGTAAAGATAACTACAAGGAATACAGAAATACTATTTTTTTCAATGTGAACTCTGAATTTTTCTAACCTTACTTTAACTGTGCTAAAACAATAACAATGGTGATTAGGAGGAGCGGGAATAAATAGAGTTTCTTCTAAACAAATGACTAGAGTAGAGGAGGCTACCAGTTCCTGAAAACATAAGTGTAAGAAGGGGACATTGGCGTTAGTGTTTTGGAATCTATATTTTATTGATTTTTCCATATAGATTGTTACATTCAACTACTATGTGGGATATTTAAATGCTACTTTGATGGATCATTGCAGGTGTGTATGATTCATGGCTTGTGTGCTCCATTAAAGTGTGTGTAATAATGGATCCAGGTGGGAAGAGAGAATTAAATAGAAATACAGAAAAGACAAGAAAAATCCCGAGAAAGTTAAAACAAAAGTGAATAATTCTTTGAGCTTGTCCTTCCCTTGTCATATGTTTGACTGAGATGATCAACACTGATATTTATTCACAAGTTGTTGTAAATGCTTTCCAGATGAGGATATAAATGTCTAGATTATCATTAGGTGGAAAGTCAATTTTCTCATAATTGGCTATTTCTAAAAGGGCTCATTGGCTCTACTTTAAGGAAGCAGCTGATTTCTTTCCTTTGATAATTTAAAAGGTAACCAACCTTATGCAGTAATACATGTTCCCAGAGAAATCTAGTACCAGAGGGCTTCTTGCTGGAAACTTAGGGTGGTAATATGCTAAATTTAAAGGCTATTTAAGCAATAAACTGATGTTACACTTAATATTGCTATACATAAGAATCAGCTATCCTCTTAATTGAGAACTTTGATTTTCAAGGGATTAGAAGTTCACTGTTCATAGGATCATAATAATAGTTAGAGATGGAAATATTTCTTACGTCACTGAACCCCGCAGTAGTACTAGTAATATTAGTCCTCCAGTTTATCAAATGATACTACACCGGTACTACATTTGATCTTAATCAAAAAGCTAACTCTGAATCGCATTGGACTGAAAGTGAGTATAACAGAGATTTAACACAGATTTGTTTTTCCCCCTCTTTTACTTATATGAAGGGTTGTAAAATGGTTTTTTAAAGTTAATTTTGGGACGAGATCAACAACCAGTTTAGATACTTTTTTTTTTTGGTGAAGTTAAGGTTAAAAAGATTATTTTTAAAATTTTACAAGAAGGTCCAGCACCTTCCTATCCATCCACCATCCATCTATCAGTAGATATAGATATTAGAGCTGGTAATAAAAAATTAGTCAAAACAGCATTCTATTAGAAAATCCTGTTTTGACAAAACCAAAAATTTTTGCAACACCATTTTGACATTTTTGGTATAAAAAGTGTCAATTTTTCATTTCAAATGACTTTTTATTTCAAAATGTACACATATAAATTAGGGCTGTCAAGCGATTAAAAAATGTATCTTGATTAATCACGCAATTAATCACGCTGTTAAGCAATAATAGAAAACCATTTAAATATTTTTGGATGTTTTCTACATTTTCAAATATTTTTATTTCAATTACAACACAGAATACAAAGTGTACAGTGCTCACTTTATATTTATTTTTTATTTCAAATATTTGCATTGTAAAAAACAAAGGAAATCGTATTTTTCAATTCACCTAATACAAGTACTGTAGTGCAATCTCTTTATCATGAAAGTTGCATTTACAAATGTAGACTTTATATAAAAAAAACCTGTATTCAAAAATAAAACAATGTAAAAGTTTAGAGCTAGAAAGTCCACTCAGTCCTCCTTCGTGTACAGCCAATCACCCAGACAAACAAGTTTGTTTACATTTGCAGGAGATAATGCTGCCCATTTCTTGTTTACAATGTCATCTGAAAGTGAGACCAGGCGTTCACATGGCACTGTTGTAGCTGGCGTTGCATGATATTTACGTGCCAGATGCACTAAAGATGTATATGACCCTTCATGCTTCAACCACCATTCCAGAGGACATGTGTCCATGCTGATGACAGGTTCTGCTAGATAATCATCCAACGCAGTGCGGACCGACGCAAGTTCATTTTCATCATCTTAATCAGATGCCACCAGCAGAAGGTTGATTTTCTTTTTTGGTGGTTCGGGTTCTGTAGTTTCGGCATCAGAGTGTTGCACTTTTAAGACTTCTGAAAGCATGCTCCACACCTTGTCCATCTCAGATTTTGGAAGGCACTTCGGATTCTTAAACCTTGGGTCGAGTGCTGTAGCTATCTTTAGAAATTTCACATTGGTACC